TCCTTTGTCCGCCGCAAAAAATTTTTGCATATTCATAACCAGCTCGGTTAGCCCTACAATATGATATGCATCTCACCACGAAACGTCAGGGTAAGTTCATGACCTTCCCTTGTAAGCATTCAGCAGTTAAGGTGACCTACATTCTGCCTTGTTATACGAAACATACATAGACAGTACACTGCAAATATCGAAATACTGTTGCAAAATCAATGCTGAATTTCAGTTACAGTTTCATCTCCTTTTTTCGTGAAATACGAAAAAAACAGGGATTAGAGTTGATGAATTATAAACATTTTCTGAGTTATGCATATTGTGACGTACCTTTTTTTGGATCTTGATTAAACAAGTCGGTTCCTTCAGTGATGATTCGTTTTTGTTTCTTTCGTTCGATTACTTCGCTAATTGACGGTAATTTTTTTGATGGAGCCATTCGATTAGCACGTACCGCTGACGATGGCAACAACGACTCGAGTAATGCAGATGTTCCATCGTCCATTTGATTCACTTGAAAATACTTTCGATGATTACATCACACACTACCTTTATCAACGCAATCGAAGAACACTTGTTCAAGTGCAAAGGTAATCAACAACACAACGAACATTTCGTTTCGGAATCGTTTTTCTCAACGCTGCAGTTGTCAATGGTCAACGCCAGATGTTGTCTGGCATCTTCTTGAGAGTGTTCAATTTGTTTACCAAAAGAAAATCCACTTATGGCTGGAAGACGAAGTTGAGTCGACGACGAACTGAAAATCAACGTTAACTCATCAACACACTGCTCATTAACTGAGAGACACTGATTCAAGGTTCAAATTCAAACAATACTCTGATTTCAATCATCATACGGCATATGTGCTTTATAAAAAAAATGGCATACATCAACAGATGATCGCGAAAAGGAAAATGCAAAATTTATCATCACGCTCACTTCGGTGAAATATACGGCTGAATACCACCAGCTTGACGATAAACACAATTCACTTCAATCGTATCAATCACCGTCAAAAGCGCATCCAACGACAGAATGTGAGTGGATCGTAGACCCATCACAGGGAACGCATTCTCTAACAGAAGCTGAAAGGACACTGAATAATTTTATGACGCTAATCAATGGACACTGAACAACTGTCGAAGAAACCTTACACATCAGCAAATTTTGGAGGCGAAAATTACAGATGAAAAAACAGCAAAAATGAATTGCTACGATGAACTGACCTTAGTCAAATCCTCGAAAAGATTCGAACAATACAAATCGCAATCGTAATTCAAATAAAGTTCAGTCACCAAGCCCGGTATACGCCACAGTTCAACGATGCTCTCCAGTGCCATCTCTTTTTGTTCGTAACTGATACGACTCTGTTAACAACAATCGTTCACGATCATATCAAGATCATACAAGTAAAGATTACCTTTTGGAAAACTCACCATATGATATAAATATATTAACTCTAAACCCATCCTAATTGANGGTTTTCATTCATGACTGACAAGCGATAATACGAGTGATCATAAAGACGAAATATCTCAACATCGAATACATTCGAACAAACAGAGTGAATCCATACCTGTTCACTGGTAACAATTGATTTGAGTTTATTGAAGTAAGATTCCATTTGAAATTTCAGAGATGTTCGAAGAGCTTCGAAGAGAAGAAAACAAACTCGATTTGTGGATGCAAATACCGGAAGTTTTTCTGTGTCAAGTAACTGCAATATCATCTTATCATCTATGAAACATTTTCATTTCGAATAATTCAACTAAAGAAAATGCATTCCTTCTGATGACAAACAACAGAACTCAAGAAACGAAAAACATTAAACACATTAGCAACTGATGCATTCGAAAACCATAACAAATTCAAGGAATAATGATCTTTGAATCGAAGAAGATTCTCACTGACTGGATAATTCTCAGTATATAACTGCTCAACATATAAATATTACGAACAAGTAATGCATCACGCAAATAATACCTGTAAAAGTGCTCGGCACAATTCGTTTTTAACCAATGGCATTAGAAGAACATAATTATGCAGATAATCAGCGCCCGCCTCTAGTGCTACAGTTAACAAATTCAATCCCATCAAGATCATCGATTCTGTGTTGGCTCGATCCAACGGATTCGTCAGTGCGATCAAGAATCTGCAACGTTATTTCGGCATGAATGTTAAACAAAATAATTCAAAATGATACATATGTTATAATAAACACGTTCAGAACATTAAAAACGATCCTATAAATTACCTCAGCAATTCGCGAGCACACGGCAGACCGTACGGAATATGAGACGTCGGTTTGACATTGATTGGTTGAGGTGATTCATTGTCACGACGGAGTGCTGACCGCTGTTCCTGCAATGAAGTGATATCGTTGGCATATCTTGAAAATCGATTCAATGGAATGTTCACTTCAAA